TCAGAGAGTGAGCTCCTTCGGGTTATAGCCTTTTCTTCTGTTACATTAAAAGTGATCTTTCTCTTTCCCCTCCTAGCGGGTGTCCTTGAGCGCCAGTCCATAGCTAGCGCGAAGGCAGGGGGGCGAAGCTGGTAGAGCACTTTGGAGTCCCGCTGCCTTTGTTTGAGCACATCACCTGTGCTTACCGGCCAGTTTGCTTAGCACACAGCCCCTCATTCTCCCATTTGCCTCATTCGCAACGTGGCCATGATAACAGGACACACCTCAGAGGTGTCCTAGGGATCAAATGAGTTAATGTTTGTAGAGCACTTAGAACAGTATCTGGCACGTACTAAGCACTGAGTGCGTGACGAATGAAGGTTGTCAACAGTGAGAGTTCAGTCATGAGCAGTGGTGATTGTTGCTAAAAATGAAATAAAATATAGGCACTTTTTTTTTATAAATTGGAGGTTGAATTTTATTCCCAAAGTAAATCTCGATGTCACCTTGACTTGTATTCCGTATATATTTTTTGAAAAGTTAATAAGATACCTAAAATTGTGTGCCGGGCATTATGCTGAGTGTTTTCTTTGTAAAGAGAGCCTTATTTAGCTCTCCCAGCAGTACTGTGAAGGTAGGCAATATTGTGCCCCCCTGTTACAGAAGAGGAAACTAGCTGACCTAAAGATGGTAGGTAGCTTTCCCAGGTCATGCAGCCAGTAAATGGTGTGCTGAGAGGCGCACCCCAGCATGTTGACTCCAGATCCCCGCCCAGAACCTTCTACTCCTCTTGTATGGAAACAAAGGGGAGTGAGAGTGCTGAAAATGTTAGGGAATACTCTGCCTGTTTTTCTCTTGACCACTCAGTTATGATGGGACACCCTCAGAAGGATCCACCATCTGTGGGAAAGGTCATGAAGGACTAATGTAGGGTCGGTCAGTGATCATTGCTAGTTGACTATGAGAAGGCATGCTTCATGATTGCGATGTTCATGTGCACTTAAATATAATAATACAAACTTGTATACCAACTCCACTGTTTCAAAGGCTGTTATGAGATGAATTGAGTTCTTCCGTGAGAAGTATTCTGTACAGGGTCCCACACACGGCAAGTGCTCAAAAAGTGTTAGCTGCGATTACTGTTACTGTCACTGTGGTTGGGACTTGATCCTCAGAGGGGCGCTTCACGAGTCTCCCGAGTTTTCTGAGTTCTGAGAGGTTAAATGACGTATCTGCAGACACAGGACTGGTTCGTGTGTTTTGCCCCCAGTCCAGCTGCTTCTAGCCTTGATGGCGTCGTTCTGCCAGCCGCACCATCTTCCGTCCCCCCCACCCCACCCCGTTGCCAGAGAAACCTCCCGGGCCCTGCTTAGCCTCAGAGCCACAGGTTGCTTTATCCCCTGGAAGTAAGTTCTGCGGTGGATTCTCCAAGTGACTTCGGAACACCCAGGCCTTCCCGAGGGGATTCAGTCTCAAATGTGATCTGAGCTGTAAACAGAGACACTTGATTTGAAGTTCACCTAGCATAGTGCTTGGTGCAATTTCAAACTTGGTCAATTTTCTTCCCTCCTCCCTCCCCCCTTTTTTTTCTGAGGTCCGGATAGTACTCATACATTAATGAATATAAAAACAGGTCTTTCAGAGTCTGTTTACTCTCCTCGAGTGAACAGCATCTTTTTTGCGAAAGTATCTGTTTTCTTGCATGCATATTCAAGTTAAATTCACAGTTTCCCTACTTTGAAAAACAGTTTTCTTGGAAATAAAATGACGAGACAGACTTTGAAACTGAAAAACTGCTGCTTTGCCTCAGGTATTTTTGCTTGAAAACTGATACTTTCATGAATATTTAATTTTTAAAAACTTGGACAAGATGATTGCTATTTCAGTTGGTGTTCTGGTCCTTACGAAAGTGATGCAGTTTTGGTTTTTAGAGAAAGTGTAACATTTTTCCATCAGTGAAAATTACTCTTTATGACTTCAATTTCTACTTTTGTATTGTTTAAATCTCTTGTAAAACTAATGGCAATATTCCAAAGATGCTTCCTTTTGCTTTTTTTTTTATTATCACCTCCAGTCTGGTAAAGGCCTCACACATTCATTATTTCAAGAGCAGATGTGTTGCAGGAATTTTCACAAAGCCGGCTGTCTGGTGGTTTTGTAAGGATGGTTTAGTGAGTTAAAATGGCTAAATGCTTCAGGTTATAATGATAAGTGCTTTTAAAAGAGCCTCATCAATAGACCATGTAAATAGTGAATCTGAATTGGGACTTAGTCATGATTTTGTTATGTTATGATTTTGATGCATAATTGTTGACATACAGTTTGGAGGGTCTCTGATTCCTCAGCTACAGAGTTATAATGTCACTAAAGAAAATTTGTGAATAAAAAATTAAGTGAGCTATTGGGAAAATAATCACCAGTACTTATCTGATAGATTACAATGACAGAAAGAATAATGGCTAAAATGTACCAAGGGCTTCCTCTGCTGCAGACACTGGGCTGAGTCTCTGTTACACAATTGAATTTCATCTCCATTTTATGCTACAGGAGAAACCAGGTTTTGCTAAAAGCATCTAGGAAATTGCAGAGCTAGGATCTAGATGTCGAGCTGCCTGACTCCCAGCCCAGGTTCTGATCCATTTTCTGTAGCTTCTACACCAACACATTCTGTCCTATAAGCTAAGCCACCATACCTCGTATTTTCAACGTCTTACTAGACGCCATGACTCCATGAAGAGGGGAAACCTGCATTAGGTCCATTTTATAGGCAAAGAAACTGATGCTTAGGTGATCAGTAACTATTCCAAGCCTATACACTTAGCACACGAGAGACTTGTCCTTGTCCTTCTGGAGACCTTATGTATGTCATAAATGAAGGATTTTTTTTTTTTTTTTTTTTTTTTTTTTTTTTACTGTGCTCTTTTCATGCTCTTTTGGGACTGTGTGAAACACCTTGAAATTTTATTTTTTTATTTTTTTATTTTTTTTTAAGATTTTATTTATTTGAGACAGAGAGAATGAGAGACAGAGAGCACGAGAGGGAAGAGGGCAGAGGGGGAAGCAGACCCCCCGCTGAGCAGGGAGCCCGATGTGGGACTCGATCCAGGGACTCCAGGATCATGACCTGAGCCGAAGGCAGTCGCTTAACCAACTGAGCCACCCAGGTGCCCCATGATTTTATTTATTTGAGAGAGAGAGAATGAGAGAGAGCACATGAGAGGGGGGAGGGTCAGAGGGAGAAGCAGACCCCCTGCCGAGCAGGGAGCCCGATGCGGGACTCGATCCCGGGACTCCAGGATCATGACCTGAGCCGAAGGCAGTCGCTTAACCGACTGAGCCACCCAGGCGCCCCACCTTGAAATTTTATTAGAAAACATTGTCATATGATTTAAACTTGCTATGTTTATCATGTTGGTCCTGTGATGACTCAGAATTCCTTAAATGACTTTTTCCTCTCCCTTCAAACAAAATCTTAGCAGTACCACTGCAGAATACCAGTGTGAAATATCATAAAGCAGGTTATTCCAGCCAAGAATCCGAGGTGAGGCCAGCTTTAAATTGTTGAGGCACATTAAAGTCAAATCAGTGGTGAGAATGCTGACAGCTCCTCCTCAGAAAAGATGTCTCTGTGGCACATTTAAAAATCATATCCCCCAGTGAAGATGATTAAGAACTTGGACATATTCGTATCTGTGGCCACAGAGGAGAAAAAGGGATCATTTTCATCACAGGTCAGTGCTGAGCACACTGAACTCCTTTGAATAGCTGTCCCTTTCTTAATTCGTCCAAGGATTCTTAATTTATTTTGCTTATTATCAGAAGCGTCTCCCCCCTTGAGGAAACATAAAATTTATTAAGAGAATTGTAACTTAAAATATTCAGAGCACTCCTGGCATCTTTATTTAAATGGATGCAAGAAATTTTACTGCAAGAAAGTATATATTGATCCCTGTAGCTTACTTGTCATGTTTAGTATTTTTCTCTTTGCACAAGAAGAATAGCTTCTGTAATGTGAATTTAAATGATACATCAAGCTAATAAATGTGGTTGGCCTAGCAAGTGATAAGCATAACTAACTCAATTTAAATGTCTTTTATATAAAAATAATGAACCAGTGTATTAAAGATTAAAAATGTTAATGCAATTAGCAAAAATTAGCATTCAATAAAGAAGTGTGTTTCAGTTTTGAGATGGATGATACATCATTCAATGACCAGATAAGGACTAAATTCAGGTACCCTTTATTCAGCTGGCGTGTATGTTAAAAACCAAATAAATAAAAATTAAATGCTTTATTTGCCCCTTTGCAACGACGTGGGTGGAACTAGAGGGTCTTATGCTAAGCGAAATAAGTCAGTCAGAGAAAGACAATTATCATATATAATCTCACTCGTATGTGGAATTTAAGAAACAAAACAGGATCATAGGGGAAGGGAGGAAAAAGTAAAACAAGACAAAACCAGAGAGGGAGACAAACCATAAGAGACTCTTAATCATAGGGAACAAACTGAGGGTTGCTGGAGGGGAGGGGTTACAGGAATGGGGTAACTGGGTGATAGACATTTAGGAGGGCACGTGATGTAATGAGCACTGGGTATTATATAAGACTGATGAATCACTGACCTCTACCTAGACATGAAACCAGTAATACACTATATGTTAAGTAATTGAATTTAAATTAAAAAAATGTAAATGCTTTATTTGAAGAAACTTTGATAAAACAGTATGTGGCATGTAGACAAAAGGACACGCAGGTCCTTGGGGACTGTGCCAGAAACCAGGGCATGAGGTGACTTAAAACATATTGTCACCTGCCTCCTTGTGGGGGAGGTAGAGGGGATGTAGCAGGTGTGACAGTGAACGTGGGACTGGAGGGGAAATGAATTTTCCTGGCTTCACTGCTAAATAAAGTGAGCATTTTTGGTTTGGGGACGCTGACTTTAAAACAGTGGAGTATAAAGTAGTGTCGCTATTTGCCTTAATGTCGCTGTGGCGTCTTGTCACTCTATGCTCATCTGCAGGTGGATGGCAAGCATTCCGATGAGGCAGCCTTGATCCTCCACAGGAAGGGGTTTGACTGCCGCTTCTCGAGCAGAGACACGGGGCTGCTTTGTTCCACAACCCAGGGAAAGGTGAGCTGAAAAGTGGTTTTTGCTTGTTGATTTCATGTGCTTTGAAATCCTTGCTTTCTGCTAATCATTCTGACAATAAGATAATGTTTCATTGCCTCTTCGTGGACTCATTCCCCTCAGCTGCTGTAATTTAGCTCAAGTCTCTCCATCTTAAGAAAGCACTTTCTCAACCTTCGATCTCTTCTCCTTGTCAGCATCAAAATGCACGTCTGGAACATGGGCACGTGTAGGGGCAACATTCTCCTCCATTCCTAGGCCTTCCGTTGCCAGCTGACAAAACATCCTCTCCCCACCCCCCATCCCCCAATATTCCCTCCTCTCTCACACATGCTCATGTAGGATCTAGGTCCATGAAGTCTCAGAGGGGCAAAAGCAGGTTTTATAATAACTAAAGGTGGGGTGGGGTGGGGTAGGGAAGTGGTGACACTGGCCAGTCGGGGAGTTTCACCACGGCCCCGAAGCAACCTTACTTAGCTCCAGTCAGTTGTTGTCCCAGGGGAAATGAGGGTCTAGATCTCCTGATCAAGACAGATTTGCATAGGAGTCCTCGCTGTGCCAGCCAAACAGGTCTTCAGGCTGACCTGCCGGCTGCCCAGTTTTTCTGTCTCCTTTGAGCTGGTCTTTCTGATAGTTCCCTCAGGCTCTCCTTGGAAGGAAATGAACCTCCAGCCTTCTGCCTCTGGCTCTGAGCAGGTTGTGCTCAGAGAAGACAGCTGGATGGCACACAGGCAGGTCTGCCCCACGGGGCAGCTCAGCTGACCCAGCTCTTCTCCAAAACCTCACAGATAACCTGTAGATCAGACTTAAGAGATTCATTTCCAACCCTACCAACTAGAATGTGCATAGGGTCTGAAAAGGAGAGAAAAGACAATATGGTAGGGGGTCAAAATCCACTTAGGCAGATAAGCTTCTTCATTTCTCGTATCATGCCCTCCGTGGAATTGGTGCGAAGAAAGCACTGATGGTTTTGGGTTTGTTTTTCATGATATTTACGCTTCACCTTATTACTGATGATGTGAGTGTACTTGGTTGTAAGCATTTGTATATAGACATTAAGGCGTCAAGTTTTAAGGGGATTATATGGTCCAGAGAGACATGGGATGAGGGTAGTACTTTCTCAGCAACCCCCCAACCCTGAAAATGGGACTCACTGACATGAGGAGCCTGTGTCCTTTCTCTCAGCTCTTTGGGAAGAAGAAGAACGACAACTGTTAGGTGTAAATGTTGGGTGTAAGAGGATACGGATGTTTTTAAAGCTTGCTGGCTCATAGATGTGTTTTCTTTTATTGAAAAAGTGGCCCCTGCACGTGATAAGTTCTCAAGAAATTCAGAAGAAGAATGTAGAGTGAGCTGTCCTCTCCTGGTTACACTTCTCCTAGGTGTCCCTCCCAGGGTGGTCTGTGTGTCCAGGCATGCATAGCTGTATCTAATCTCCTTCCTCTTCCTCTTTTTATCATTAAAAGGAAACTTCAAATACACTGTTTTACTCTCCTACTATTTTCCACTGAATAAATATATAGATGTGTTACTAATCTTTCTTCAAAGTTGACCTAACTGTGCAATTTTTTTTATCATTTATTTTCTAGATTTTGGTACAGAAGCTTTTTAGCATGTTTACTGTCGCAAGTCTCATACCTTCATCATTATCCTTGATGCATTCACCTCCAGACGCCCGAAATATAAGTGAGATCAACTTGAGTCCCATGGAAATCAGCACATTCCGAATCCAGTTGAGATGAACCTGGCTTTCAAATTTGGATTGGGAAGCATTGTCTTTTATACACTTCTTGGTTTGACGTGCAATAAGGAAGCACATTATTTTAGCTTCTGGCTACTGTGAGGACATGAATTCTGTGATTGTTAGTATAATTATTATTATTATTTTTTTTTTTTTTACTAGTACAGAAAGAAAAAAAAAAAAAGCCATGATATAGCCAGTTTTTCTTTAAGTTCCATCCATGAATCACCACCATCAGTATGAATCGATGCAACAATGAAGGAAGAAATGTCTAAAACAACCTCTCCACAGATTGTATCTCAGGTTAAATGCTAACTAACTATATCTGTGTCGGGAGTTGTGAAGAGATTGTTATAAGTATTCATGTTGCTGATCCTTCATTAGTTTTACAAAAATACCCATTTTTACCAAAATGGAATAAAAAGCTGAAGGGTAATAGCTAATGGCCAAAATGCTTGCAATTGTTCATACGCATTCGAAAAATTGTGTGTATTGAAATATGTGGAAAAGTGCAATCCATCAACCCTTATGATATCTGTACATCATTGATCTTCACACCTTTTTCTAATGTACCACTTGACCCCTCCCTTCTCACTCTTTGTATTTCCAGAAATAGCAGATTTTGAATCATTCAATAGTAGAAAAAGAGGCATATTTCCATTACTTGACAATGTGGGATAGGTGCAATTTATTCCATTGTCACTAAGGTAGAAAAAGCAATCCCATAGGTACCATAACCTCTTTTAGGTACCACAAGGTGTCTTTTTACACAGCTCATTTGAATACAGATGTTCGGAGAGGGGTTTTCTATTTTAAAAATAACCATATCAAAATAAATGTGCCTTATTTTTTTATAAGTCTTGTTAAATATTTTGGTGTCCATATGACTGAGAAAGGGGGAGAGGGCGGGGGTGGGGAGGAGGTGGGTACTTTCTATGACACGTAAAGTGTTATCGGTTTTGCCTGACAATGCTGGCCACATTCTGATCTGTTTCATTAAATTTGTGGTGATGTTATTCTAAACATTTTGACTATTTGAATGTACTGAGATGTCAGAAAACAAAACAAGGAAGAAAAAGTACTGTTCATTAAAATCCGCTGCTGCCAAGAAGATGGCAGCTTGAAGCAAGGATTTTGTGACATGCAAAATCCATACACTGTTTCCATTTCACAGGAGGTAACTCTATGAAAGAATGCTTTAAAAGGGACCCTGTTTTGAAATCCACTTATAGGTAGCTCATCCTGATTTCTTTTATTAAAGAACATGTGTGTTGAGTGAATTCCAAACTTTTGTACGTGCTAACCTCAAAGCGAAGTTCCAAGCCTATGTGCCATTACAGTACTTTTGATAAAATTTATTTGGGATCATGATTAACATGACATTAACACTGAAGCAACATTAGAAACATTTAGAATATTCAGTTTTAGGATAGAAAGGATTCACTGAGTATGTACACTTTTGAAAATTCTCTTTGTGTTACCTAATAAATTTAGTATTCTCTGACTTTAAACTTCCTTTTACCTCCTGCCATTCCAGCATCTTTATAGAGAAGTTGAAACCTAATTTCTGTTTCACCAGGTAGTCTGATGATCATCCTTTTTTTTTTTTTTTTTTTTTTTTTTTTTACCAAGATGCAGCTCCTACAATTATTGCTAAGTTATGTTAAGTTCATAAATTTTTTTCGCCTTTAATAATTAAGGAAACAATACTGGTGTTGATGAAGATATTATAAGGGAGTAATTTCATGCAATAAACATGTACTGTAAGTTTCCTTCCTCATTTTGGGGGATAAACAACTAAAAGAAAAAAAAAAAAACAAAACACTTCCTTTTTGTGGACATCTACAGATGTTAAGATTGCCAGAAGCAAATCCCAGGAATAAGATCAGTATTTTCATTGCATCTTAAATGTAAAACCTTCCTTTGGGAGTTCAGTGTGTTCTGTGGTTAAGTGGGTGTGCTTAATCATTGTGGAAATTCTGATCAGTTGAAATAAAAAATCTTGATGCAATAACAGTGGTTTTGCCACTTCTGGTTGTTTGAGATGGATCTGTCCCATGTCAGTCGGGGTCTTAGTGTGTGTTGCCACCGTTCACAGGTAAAGCAGAAATTCTCTTTAAACCAGCAAATTTCTGCTTTTTATTTTTAGAATAAATCATCAGGGAAATGAGGAGAGGATGCTTTTGCTTTGGGTTGTGGTCACGAACTGATTAATTTAGTGTCTCTGGCACACCTAAAAACCTACATTTCAGTTGTGATCTCGGTGGCATATTTGTTTGCTTGGGTTTTATTACATTTGTTACCGCAGATGTTCAGTTGAGCGAGTAGGTCATTCCTGTGATTTTTTTTTTTTTTTTTGGTAATTTGAGCTTTTACCTGCAGTGTTTGAGAACTCGGCATTCTTGTTTTCTTCAAATACTGATTAAAATAAAATGCTATAAAATGTGTTGTGAAACATTTTAATTACCTTCCCATGTCTTTGTTGTACTTGTGTCGAAATGTTTTCACATTCCTTTGGAAGAAAATCTTTGCTTTCATTTTGATTATGTTGCTTATCTTGGAATCAAATAGGTTTTGATATTTTTCTCTTGGAAGGTTTTATATCTTTTGGGGAATATGTAATATAAGATCTCTAATAAAAGATAAATCTTACCATGTATGTAGTCCTCCAGAGTGCTGCTTAAGTCTTATTTTGTAAACAACAAGAATTAGTACATTTTGAGGCGTAGGGTGGAAGAGTGAGGGTCTGTTCTTTGTTCCTTCAAGAATGAATCACTAGACCTTCTGCCCAGTGCTGGTTGGGAAATACAGTTTGAGAGAGCAAGTGGCAGGCGGGGGTGGTGATGAGTTTGTCTGGGTTTGTGGCCACCTTTGAGTTTGGGGTGTGGGAACCTTCCGGACAGTGTGGTACCTGTGGGGCCTTCTGAGCCAATTGGAGGAGCAGGGTCTGGTCAGATTCCGTATGTTACAGGACAGTAGTGAGAGGAAGACGACACAGGAAGCCAAGAAGTTTCCCGTGAGCTGATCAGGAGGGCGAGTGGGATCTGGAGGCACCCCACCGGCCCCACCCAGCGCCCAGGGCGGTGGCTTTCAGAGAAGTCCTTCAAAGGCGGGAGGTGGGGCGGCTGAAGGACAAATACGCCAGAGGATCCTGTGGGTTAGCCGGGCAAGTGAGAACGTGCTAACTGGGGAGTTTGGGCTTGTTTTGGGTGACGTAGTACAGAGGCTAGTCAATTTGTAGTATGCATGTGCCAAGCTAAAAACTCGGGAGAGAACTCTCCATAAGCATCTCATTAGCATATAAGGAAAATTGTGTTTGGCTCCGTCACATTTGATTATCAACACGTCAAAATAATTTGACTATCAAGACTTGTAAAGAAACACGTAGTTTCGGTAGGTATCTGCTCACGGACTCCCGCGAACCTGTGAGCGGCAACCAAGGGAGCGCGAGCGCGACTGACCGGCTGAACGGGCGGCCGGACGGGGGGTGGCCGAGCATCAGCAAGGCCCCGGCTGAAGCGGAACGAGGAGATGGATTGTTCCCGGTAAGGAACGGTCGAGGGTCGAAGGAGCTCCAGAGACAGGCAGAGCCTAGCACGAGATGACGTCGTCCAGGATCTGTCCTCATCTCCTGGGTGCCCCGCTGAGAGAACGCCTTCAATTATTCTGCCAATGTCCTGGCACTGACGTCGCTTCCTCTGGCTCATATGCTAATGACCGTGGCCCCCCGGCTGAAGCGGAACGAGGAGATCGATTGTTCCCGGTAAGGAACGGTCGAGGGTTGAAGGACCTCCAGAGACAGGCAGAGCCAAGCACGAGATGACGTCGTCCAGGATCTGTCTTCGTCTCCTGGGTGCCCCGCTGAGAGAGCGCCTTCAATTATTCAGCCAATGTCCTGGCACTGACGTCGCTTCCTCTGGCTCATATGATAATGACCGTGGCCCCCCGGCTGAAGCGGAACGAGGAGATCGATTGTTCCCGGTAAGGAACGGTCGAGGGTCGAAGGAGTTCCAGAGACAGGCAGAGCCAAGCACGAGACGACGTCGTCCAGGATCTGTCCTTATCTCCTGGGTGCCCCGCTGAGAGAGCGCCTTCAATTATTCAGCCAATGTCCTGGCACTGACGTCGCTTCCTCTGGCTCATGTGTTAATGACCGTGGTGAGGGCAGCGTTCGGCTCGCATGAATCACGCGGAATCGCGTAAGTGAGAAATAGTCCCCCCCCCCAACGTGCACACCCATAGAAGGTGGGGTTCTACAACCAGAGAAAAGGGCTGGGGACCTTGAATACGAGGTGGACAAAATACAGTAGAAACACATCGCGGAGAAAATCCAAATACGCAGATCTGAAGGAAGCAGCTCACCCAGTTTCAGTTCCAGGAAAGTTCCGTAGAAGACACAGATTTGAGACAGTTCTTAAAAGATGCATTTGATTCGAACAGAGACAACACGTGTGTTCCTTGGAAAAGACAGAATAAGGAAAGATGGTAACAGGAGGCGTAGAGAACTAGAAATAGTTTCCTCTGCCTGGAGCAGCGCCACCCAGTAAAACTTTCTTTAATAAGGGCAAGTTCGTCATCCATGGGCTGTCCCATAGAGCAGCCACTAGCCACCTGTGGCTTTGAGCATTTGAGATGTAGTAGTGCAACTAAGGAACTGAATGTCTTATTTTAGCTTAATTAAATTTAGCAACATGTAGCCACTGTTTCAGTACCGGTCTGTACATGGTATGCACAGGACAGTAGTAGGAAATACAACCAAATATGTAAGTTAAGGTCACTTGTGCTAGAATCCTGCTACTGAGTGTGGTTCTCAGACCAGAAGCTGTGACATCACCTGGAAACTGGTTAGACAAGCAGAAGCCCAGGCCCCACCTCAGACCTCCCGAGTCACAATCTGCACTTTACAAAGATCCCTAGAGGATTCACATGCACACTAAAGCACTGGCCTAGAACATTCCCAGGGAGTAATTTCTCTCTGCTCTTACCGAACTTTTCCAAGTAGCTCTTGACCGTAACTCCTATACCTCACAGTCTCTAGGAAGCATCCCATAATACCTGTCTACTTGTCCCACTGCCACCCATTTCCAAGTCACCTTCGTGCACCTGGGACTCTGCCTTACAAAAGAGTTGTAAGAGGGCTCCTGCCCCTTATGTCTCTTTTTTTTTCACACAGAAGCCAGAAAATAAAAGAAAGTAAAATTTGAAAAATATCTTCCCTCTTGAAAACTGTGTGTTTCCCGTTACACCTGGAATAACATACAACCTTTCACCATGGCCAGAAGCCGTGCCTGGCTTGGTCCGTGTCCTTCTCCTCCATCTCAACTCTGAGAAGGGGGCGAGGGTGTTTAAGAAATCCTTTCCCGACCCAAATCAGCTTTATCTCCCACCACGCCCCCTTCTGACTGTTGTCTAGGATCCTTATGGGTCTCTAACATGCCAAGATTATCCCTCTTGGGGGCTTTGTACTTGTTCCTTCTGCTTCAAACTTGCTCTCAAATCCTCCCCTGGCAGGCACCTTATTATTCTGGTTTAATTCAAGCATCATCTTCTCAAGAATCTTCCTTGACCAGCCAATTTAAACCAGTCCCACCTCCACTCCCTCACTGAGTATTTTTATTACACTGCTTCCTTTCTGCTTAAACAGAGTCAAATTTGAAATGATGTAGTTTGCCTTCCCCACCAGAATATAAGCTCTCCTGAAGGCAAGAACCCCAGCATTTATTCAGCATTGCATCCTCACACTTGGAACAGCAGGCGTTCGGAAGATATTTGTTCAATAAATGAATGAAAATATGTGTACCACCAGTAAATGTTGTGAAACAAGAATTATAATTTTCAGAATTACAATTTTTCCAAATCCCTTACATCTTAATCTGCTCATATTATTTTCCTGCTCAAAA